CCCCCTGCCGCTCGCGGAGGGGAATGAGACGCGGTTCTCGCCGTGCGCCGGACCGTGTGCCCCGTTCTGCGCCAGCTGCTCCAGGTCCTGAGCTGTCGCGCACCACCAAGACCACCACGTCCGTGTACCTGCTTTTCATCGGCAGCGTCCTGAGCTCGGCGCCCGCGGCCGACCGACCCCACCTGCGGGAAGAGCTGCACAAGCCGTGCCGCCTGGCCTGCGAAGGCGTCCTCGGGGGCGGGCGCAGCTCTCTGAGAAGGACCTGCAACGACTGGAGCTTTGCGGCTCCAAAGTCCAGGCGCGGTTTCTCAGCAAGAAGATGCTGGAAGGCGTGCTGGAAACCGAGGTCACCTACCGGTTCATCGACCAGACCTTCCAGGAATTCTTAGCCGTGCTGTCCTACCTGCTGGAGGACGAAGGGGCTCCCCAGACACCTGGTGGCGGCGTAGGGGCACTTCTGCGGGGGGACCCGGAGCTGCGTGGCCACCTCGCGCTCACCACGCGCTTCCTTTTCGGGCTACTGAACACAGAGAGGATGCGCGACATCGAGCACCACTTCGGCCGCGCGGTTTCAGAGCGCGGGAAGCAGGATGTCCTGAGGTGGGTGCAGGACCAGGGCCCGGGCTGCCCTAGGGCGGCGCCAGAGGGGACGTCGGGGACCCAAGCGCTCCGGGGCGCTGGGGAGTCAGAGGAGGAGGAGGGCGAAGAGCTCAGCACCTGCTGGAGCTGCTGTACTTCCGGTACGAGGCGCAGGAGGGCGCCCTTGTGCACCAGGCCCTGCGCGGCCTCCCTGAGCTGGCACTGCAGCGAGTGCACTTCAGCAGAATGGACCCGGCCGTCCGGAGCTACTGCGTGCGGTGCTGCCCGGCGGGGCAGGCCCTGCAGCTGGTTAGCTGCAGACTGGCCACTGCCCAGGGGAAGAAAATGAAGAGCCTGTTGAGGTGGCTACAGGGCAGCCTGGGAGGCAGCTCGTGAGTCCCCAGAGCAGGGCGGCCCTCTTCTGCAGAGGCCCTCTGTGTGCAGCGCGCGTGCATCTTATGCACTGAAGTGTCCATCTGGGCCTGGGGAGTGCGTCCAGACCTGACGCCTGCTCCCCAGAGGCGAGGCACGACGTCAGGCTGGTTTTTCCCACCTCCTTGCAAGACAGCTCCCAGGGTGTCCTCACCATGACCCGCACCTCAGCACCCACAACCGAGGCAACCCTCCCAGCACTCCCCCCACCCACCGTCATGCCTGCTCATAAGTTCTGGCGTATACCACGCCCTCTGTGTCCTGAGCCTTTGCTTCTACTGTTCCCTCCACCCAGAATACTGTTCACTGCCTATCCTCAAAGCCTCTCCAAACCATCCCAGCTGGCCTGAGACCATTTTGGCCTCAGAAATGCCCCACTGACCACCGTATGCCATGACATCTGCCCGTGCCCACCTCCTCCACCAGACCCTCTGCTCCTCCGGGGCAAAGCTCGTGCCGTTGTTCCTGTGCAGTTAATTCCAACCCAGCACCTGACTCAGGTGCTCAGCATCTGTTGGGAGAACGAATGTCAGGACGTTGACAGGGGCTGGGGCTGGGGATGCCCACTGCAGGTGCAAGGACAGGCCCACCTGGTGTGTGCAGGTGACATGCCGCCATGGGACTCACACAGACAGCTTCAGTGGGGAGGTGCTTGTGGCCACAGTTGAGTGGTTTCACTCTGGGCTTGGGATGAAGAGGGAGGAGGGCCCTGGCGCAGCTTGGGGGCAAGGCAGAAGGAGCTCCGGCACCTCAGGACCGTAGGAAGGAGTCCTTTGCGGGAGGGAGGGCTTGGAAGGGGCTGGGGCCTTCACCTTCCTTTCTCTCTTAGTAGCTCTCGAGCCACCATGAGAAAACCCCCTGGCTCCCCACTGCATCCACTCTGTGAGTGGACTGACCGACAGTGTGGTCTGAACACCCTGACGTGCATGAACATGCCCCAGCCATTCCCCTGGAAGGGATACAGAGCAGGACACCCTGGGCAGGGACAGAGGTGTGGCCCTGTCTGGGGATGGCTGAGAGGACAGGCTGAGAACCTGTGGCCTCTGGTGTCCCTTGCGGGGGTCGACAGGCTCCACCCACACAGGACAGAGGAGGGCAGAGGGGACGGGGCAGGGCTCCAGCACCAGCTTAGGTGCTATTAGGACAGAGGCTTGGCCCCAGTCTGAGCGGGAAGCAGAGCACAGCTGAGCATCTGGCGGGATGAAGAAGTCCACACTGTATTTTCCTTCCCAAGGAAGAGGCTGCTCAGCGCCATTGCAAACTGCTGGGCGGCCCCTCTGGATTCTTACAAGCAGATACGGAAGGCATTCCGGGCACGGGCTCTGAGGCCAGTCTGCCGGCCTCTGTGCCCTTGACAGGTCGGTCTGTCTGAGCTCCAGTTTCCTCCCCTGGGAAATGGAGCCAGTAGCTTCCACCTCAGAAGGTGGATGTGAGACTCAATGAGGCAGTACGTAGTACATAATCTTTCCAATGACTGTTCACCACCACCAAGTAAGCAGAAAGTAAGAAAGGCTGTAGGAACTAGTACCGATGGGGCATGTGGTGAAACAGGCACAGTCCTGTGCCAGTGGTGACAGGGTGACTTAACTTGGCATAAACGTCAGGAGCCAAAACAGCGATCAGCTCACTTGGCCCATCAGTTCTGCTGCCCGGCTAAGTGCACAAAGATGTTCATCGCAGCATTGTTTATAGTGCCCAGCTAACTAAATAAGCTCAGCCCACCTGCACTTGCTGGGTAATTATATGGAGTTAGACGTATTAAGAACAAGGTCTCTTATTGGCTCATCCAAAAGCTGGTGGAGAATGTCCTGAGGGAAGAGGGGAGTGCAGTCCAGCAGGGACACACATGGTGACAAAGGGCAGGAGAAGCTCTGTGGGGCCCAGGTAGGCAGGTGTGCAGCCAGCACGTCTGTAGACTGAACCTCAGCCCCCAGGGAGGGGGCACCTTGCACAGCCGGAGACCCATGTACCTCCTGACCACAGGCTGTCCCGCTGCAAACTGCCCGACTTGGTCTGCAGAGACCTCTCTGAGGCCCTGACGGAGCTGGGCCTCTTCCACAGCTGGCTCAGCGAGGCCGGCCTGCGTGTGCTGAGTGAGGGTGCCGGCTGCAGACACTCAGGTGAGGGCTGGCCTGGAAGGGACCAAGGCGGGGACAGGGGCTCCCATAGCAGCTCCTGCAGTCAGCACTGCCCGCTAGGGTGCAGCAGCTGGGCCTCCAGGAGGCTCCCAGTACGTGTTTGGCCTGCTCCAGCAGAGCCCAGCACTGACTACCCTGGACCTCAGTGGCTGCCAGCTGTCGGGGACTATGGCGACCTACTTGTGTGCCATCCTGCAGTTCCCAGGGTGCCGTCTGCAAAGCCTCAGGTGGGGGCAGCGCCGGGAAAGGTGCGGGAACACAGCCTCTCCATCCTAGCTTGGGGTGGGCGCCAGGGGCTTCCCCCAGACCTCACAGAGGAGTCCCGCTCACGGCCCTCCCGAGGGACCCCGCTGAAACTCAGCCCCTGGAGACCCACCCCCTAAATCCCTGGCCCCCGCCCTGGGCTTCAACCACTCTGCCAGACCAAATGTCCATCTAGTGTCTGGTGCACGTGGCCACAGTCTGGACCGACACGCTTTTACTCCCCTGAAGGCTCTGGACCCTAGTCCCTACCCGCTCCCCCAGCTTCTGACAGCCCCCCTTAGTGGCCACCTCCCGTCACTGTGTGCCTTTGGCATAACCCAGGTCAACAGCTCCCCATCGCTGCCTCCCCAAGCCCTGGCCTCCCTCCCCCACCAACTCCACTTCCGTCCTCTGCACACGACTACAGTCTAACCTCCGTGGAGCTGAGCGAGCGGTCACTGCAGGAGTTGCGGGCCGTGGGGACAGCAAAGGCGGGACTGGCCGTCACCCACCCAGCGTTGGATAGCGACCCCCAGCCTCACAAAGGGCTCGGCAGTGACCCCTGAGGCCCTGGGGGAGGGCTCTAGTCAGCCCTACGGAGTAGCCCTCCCCACTTCAAGGGTGAGAGGTTGGTGCTCTCTGCTGTGGGCAACTCTTTTGAGCCTGAGGGGCCCTGGACAGGCAGGTGGGAGACCCAGACACGGCCCCTTACCTGCTCCTGGACAGCCCCCGAGACCTCCCCACACCCTGGGGACAGGTATGTCTCTGTGCTCCCCACCAGGAGGAGGGGCTCCCCTCCCCTAACCCCACTGCTGCCCCACCCACATCCCTCTCCTGGGGCCCTCCAGCCCTCCCATTGCAGGCGCCCCTCAGCAACAAGCGTGATGCTGAGCGCCCCCGGGAATCGAGAACCTACAGTGTGTTGGCCTTTACCTGGTGCAGGATGACCCATTTGCTGATCCTGTGCCCATGCACAATATGGGCACCCATGGCCCACTACTCGGCTCCAGCCATAGGGGATCAAGCAGGGGCTGACCCTTGGCTGAAGGTAGGTGGGTCACCGTGCCTCCTCAGGAATTTGGGTCTCAGCATTAGGAGTGAAGCCATCCCTGAGGCTGTGTGGTCTGAGCCCAGAGGTGTCCACTCGCTGTCTGAGGACTTCAGAAACAGGCCAGAGGAGAGTGGACAGGAGCGGTAGCCCCTGCTCCGGATGGGAGCTGTGATGGCACAGGTGATGGGCAGCGCCCCCGTGCACTGATGATAAATTCTCCTTGGGGTTTGTTTCTGTCATCTCTGTTGCACTTAGCCAGGCATCCTAACAGGTGTTCATACTCTTTCCTTTGGTCCCCAGCCCATCTCAGTGGGACAGGGTTGTAGCCCCCGTTTCCTGGGTGAGCTCAGGGGAACAGCCTGTTGCAGGAGGCTCTGATGTGAGGCTTGGCCTCCATGGGCAGGGCTAGCGACTGACAGCCCCCGAATCCTGAAGTCTTCTCTGCTCAACCCTGCTGGACTTGGCCAGCTTCTGGGACCCCAGTCAGCCCCTTCACTTCCCCAAATTCCCTTCCATAATCCAGTTATTCATTCCACAGAACAGACCAAAAATCCCTGCCCTCCTGGAGCTGGCATTCTAAGAGGAAGGGAAAGCAGGGGGCTGGGGGGGTGGAGCCAGTGGTTTCCTCTTACATGTAAGTAATCTGGGAACATCTGGTTGTGGATGAGGCATTTGAAAACGGAAGGAAGGGAGGGACCAACCCTAAGGATGTCCTGAAGAAAAGGCAGTGGGACGGCAAGTGTAAAGGCCGCAAGGGGCCTGTCTTGGTTGTGGCTCTGCTGCTATGACAAAATACCATATACACCGCGTGGCTTGTCAACAAGATCAGTTTATTTCTCGCAGTTCTGGAGGCTGGGATGTCCAAGGTTAAGATGCCAGTCAATTTGGTGTCTGGTGAGGAGCCTCTCCCTGCAGATGGCTTTCTTCTGTGTCCTCACAGGGTAGAGAGAGGGCGAGCTCTCAGGCCTCTTCTTATAAGGGCAGAAATCCCGTTCTTGACAGCTCTAAACCGAATTACGTCCCAAAGGCCCCACCTCCAAATACCATCACACTGGGAATTAGAATTCAACGGGTGGGTTTGGCGGGGGGATCACATTCAATCCATAACAGGGAGCGTGCTTGGAATGGTGCAAAAGCAGCAAGGAAGCCAGGGTGGCAGCAGCGGGTTGAGGGAGGGGCTGAGGGTGGGGAGGGGGCCCTGGGTGGCTTGTCCCGCCAGTGAGGTGGGCACCACTGCAGGCTGTGAGAACTTGACCACTCCTGGGGTAGATGTGGCTCTGGCTCTTGACAAGGGCTGTGGGGCCAGAGCAAGGACTGCAGTAACCCAGGAGCACGGCCTGGACTGAGGGTGGACGGTGAGAGCGGGCACGCCCTGGAAGGGGGACGCGCCGGTGGATGTAGGTGTGGGGACAGCGGGCCTGAGCAGCGGGATGGGTGAAGTCACCATGGCCTGTGCTGGGCAGGTCACGGCAAGGGCAGGTTTCAGGGACACGTTGAATCCGAGTGTCTCTGGCTGGGCGAGTGGTCAGAGCACAGTCATTCGGGTCAGACCATGGCCAGAGAGACGAGGTCCAGACAGCCCCAGGGCCTGGAGCCTCCAGCAGGGCGGGGGGCAAGTGGGTAGACAGGCTGAGAGAGGAGGCTGGGGAGAGCCAGAAAGTGGGGCGGGGACAAAGGAAGGCGGGGCTCCAGGAGGGGGACCTGCCTCACGTCTCCGGGGCGGACGGGGGTTCAGGGAGAGAGGCAGGACCCGGCGGCAAGAGAGGGGACACCTAAGCAGAAACCCCTTCCCTCTCAGATCCACCCTTGGAGAAGACTCAAGGCAGAGCTGGAGCTGGGCTCCTCGCGGCCTCGCAGGCACGACGGGTCGAGGCGCCCCCCCC